ACCTCTTCTTTTGAGGCAGGGTCTCTCCCTGAATCTGGAGCTTGTATTTTCTTGGCTGGAAGCCCCACTGAGCCTTCTGCTCCATTCCTCTTGGAGCTGTGGTTACAAGCATTTGTGGGAACATCTGGCTTGTTACACTGGTGCTGGGTTCTGAGCTACAGCCCTCATGACTTTGCAGCAAGCAATTTTAAGCACTGAGCCATCTCTCCAGTCCTTGGTAGAAATTTATGTGATAGTGGCTTTGGGTAGTTAGTTGTACTTGTGAGGTGTCTCTCCACAATCTCCTAGTTTTATTTTTTTGGTAGGGTTGGCACAAGCTGCATTTTGATTCTGAGAACTTCCATGGGAGGAAATCCTAAAAGATGAGTGTTATCTAGAAGTCCTCTTGATGTCCTCATATGACAAGCTTTAATGTAGGTTAAAGGAAGGGGAACCCAGACTACGCTTCAGATGGCTTTAGTGTTGGCTCTGTCTCCACTACCAAATTGCAGTGTGATTGTGTATGTGTTTGTGTACAAATCTATTTGTGTGTATGCATGTGTGTGTGCAGGCATGTGGAGGCCAGATATTGATGTCACTCTCTACCCCATCCTTTGAGACAGACTCTCTCCCTGAGTCTGGAGTTTGCTGAGCTCCGAGGATCCTCCTATCTCTGCCTCCTCAGCGGACTGGGATTACAGGTGTGCACCACCGTGCTCCACCTTTTATGTGGATTCTGGAAATCCAAACTCAGGTCCCCATGTTGTTCAGCATTATGGAGCATCTCCCTAGCCCTGCTGTGCAATTTTGAGTGATTCATTTCATCTCTCCAGACTTAGCTATTCAGGAAGGGGAGGGCACCAGATGGCCAAGGTAATTTTCTTCCCTAAGACTCTATGAGAAGTATCTGTAGTGGTAGTCATTTGTACTTAAGTTTAAATATAATCTTCATTTTCATCATTTTGGGAGAGAGGAGGGAGGGTGTGTTTTTCCTGTCTACTTCATTTTAAAGTGAAAAAGTCTTTGTAACCCTTGGAATCCAATGCAGTGAAATGGGAGAGCCTTGGTAGGACCAGCCCAGTCTTATCAGAATATCAGAATGTGGATTTGGAGAGGCCACTGGCTCGGGGGCTATCCATAACTTGGTCTTTATAATCAGTTTTTTAAACATTAAAGAAATCAGCCAGGCGTGGTGGCGCACACCTTTAATCCCAGCACTCGGGAGGCAGAGGCAGGAGGATCTCTGTGAGTTCAAGGCCAGCCTGGTCCACATAGTGAGTTCCAGGACAGCTGGGGCTACAGGGAGACCCTGTCTCAAAAAGACCAAAAAAAAAATTAAAGAAATCAGGCTAGGCATGGTGGCACACACCTTTAATCCCAGCACTCAGGAGGCAGAGGCAGGAGGATCTCTGTGAGTTCAAGATCGGCTTGGTCTTCATAACAAGTTCTAGGCCATCTGGGGCTACAGGGAGACCCTGTCTCAAAAAGACAACAACAACAACAAAAAAAAATTAAAGAAATCTTTAAAGTGTGGGAGGGCAGGATGGAGGGATGGCTCAGTACCTAAGAGTGAATACTGCTCTTCCAGAGGACCACAGTGTGGTTCCCAGCACTCACACTGGGCAGCTCACAACCACCTGTAACTCCAGCTTCAGGGGCTCTGACATCCTTCAAGGGCACCTGCATGCACATGTACACACACACACACACACACACACACACACACACACACTGGATCTTTATAATCAGTTTCTGATTCTTTCCCATGGTATGCCTGGACCCCTGCTGGAGGCCCAAGGCCCCTCCCTCGCTTCCTCCTCCCCCTCCTCCACTTCCTCTTCCCCCTCCTTCTATTCTTCCTCCCCTCCTCCTCTTCCTCTTTTTTTTCTTAACTTTTCCTTTTTTCTCTTTTCTTTCCTTTTGCTTTTATTCAGACAAAGTTTCATGTAGCCCAGTCTGGTCTTGAGCTTGTTGTATAGCTGAGGATAACCTTGAACTCCTGATCTTTCTGCCTCCATTTCCCAAATTCTGGGATTATGGACATGCACATCCCACATATCCCACAAGGCCTCTCTTTTTAGCTGTCCTGTAGTCTGCCCGTGTGTAGACCAGAATGCCATAGGTGTGAAAAATCTCTCACCCCCAACATTCCTAATCGCTGGAACTTGTACATGTTACTTATTTGGGAAAGGGGCCTTTGAAAGTGTGATCCAATCAATGGATCTTGAGATGGTGAGATTATTTCAGATTACCTAGGTGGACCCCAAATATAGCCACGGTGTCTATAAATAAGAGGCAGGGGGAGAGTGGTCACAGACACACTGAGGAGATATGAAGATGGAGTCCAAAATGGAGGGATGGGGCCACAAGACCAAGGTTGTTAGGCAGCTACCTGAAAGAGACAGGGAAGGACTGTCCCTTAGAGCCCTTAGAGAAAGACAGGCTGTCCTGGTGGGTAGCGGCCATCTATTCTCCAGAACTGTGGGCGAACAAGTATTGTTTGAAGTCACTGGTAATTTGTCATAGCCTCTGCAGGCCAGATAGATAACTGGTCCTGCTGGACTGAGGAAGGGAACACAGCTCTCCATACACAGCTCTCCCCATCCTCACCCCATCACTGATGAGGCAGGTCTCATGGTTTCCACCATCATGACAAGGATCAGTAACACCTGTGGGGCCCCAGGTTCACAGCTCACCATTGATCTTTACTTACCACAGACTACATTGTCTTAAACTGGCTGGGGCATTCCCCAAGCTGGGTCAAAACCCCAGTGATATCGGTGAGGGCAGTGATCTCGGTATGACTTCAGGTGCTAGCAGATTTCTAAGAGATAAAATCATTAGTCAGAAGGGATTAGAGTCAAGGGGCATGAAACAAAAGCCAAGAGAAATACACGGCCATCTGCAACAGCATCTAAAGTGTGACAAGGAGGGCGGGGAGACAGCTCAGTTGGTAAAGAACTTGCCTTGCAAATGCAAGGAGCTGAGTTCAATCCCCAGAATCCATGTCAAAAACAAACAAGAAAACGGGCACGGTGGCACATGCTTGTATAATCCCAGCTCTGGGGGAGGTGGAGACAAATTTCTGGGGCTCACTGGCCAGTCAGCATCCTTGGCCCTTGAGGTCCAGGTAAGACACTGTATTCTGCACTGGTTGCTGTCACCCTGCTGGTCTGGTCTCAAACAGCAGAAATAAACAATATGTTCAAAGTTCAAACTCTATTCTTGAAAAGCTCATAACTATCACTGTATGGAAGAAAGCTATATAGGACATTAATAAATATGTTATATTTTTGTTTCTTTTTCTCATCTAGCATTGTACCCTTTCAATGATGGCTCAGATACCACTGAGAGCCTAAAATTGGGCATAGAGGCATACATCTATGATTCCAGTTATTTTGGGGAGACTGGGGTTGAGGATTCAGTTTTCATTTATTTATGTATTTATTTACTTATTTATTTATTTGTTTGTTTGTTTGTTTGTTTATATGAGTGTTTTGCTGGCATGTAAGTGCACCATATGCATGCAGTGCCTGTAGAGGCCAGAAGAGGGTGTTAGATCCCCTGGAACTGGAGTTACAGATGGTTGTTAGCCACCATATGGGTGTTGGGAACCAAACCCAGATTCTCTGCAAGAGCAGCCAGTACCACCAATATTTATTGTTTTAATCTGTGTGTGCATACATTCATGTTCATGTATGTGTGCGCATGTGGATGGAGGTCAGAGATCAACAAGTCTCTTAGTCACTCTCCACTTTAGTTTCTTTGAGGCAGGGCCTCTCACCAAAGCTGGAGCTTGCCAAGATAGACTAGCTAGTCAGCAAGCTCCAGGGAATCTCCTGTCTCTGCCTCCCCAGTGCTGGAATTATAGGCATAGGCCTTTAAAAAAAAAAGAAGGCCGGGCGTGATGTTGCACACCTTTAATCCTAGCACTTGGGAGGCAGAGGCAGGTGAATCTCTGTGAGTTCGAGGCCAGCCTGGTCTACATAGTGAGTTCCAGGCCAGCTGGGACTACAGGGAGACCCTGTCTCAAAATAAAATAAAATAAATAAAATAAAATAAAACCAAAAAAAAGAAATCATCATTATTTTTGTTTTATGTGTACAAGTATATTACTGAATGTATGTAAGTGCATCCATGTTGTGCTGCTTTTGGAGATCAGAAGAGGGTGTTGGATTCCTGTGGAACTTGAGTTACAGACAGCTGTTAGCTGCCATGTGGGTGCTGGGAATTGAACCCTGGTCCTCTGTAAGAGCAGCCAGTGCTCTTAACTGCTGAGCCATCTCTCCAGCCTCCACACCTGGCCTTTTTAACTTGGGTTCTGGGGGATCCAATTTGGGTCCTCATGTTTTCATGACAAACACATTACTGACCAAGCTATCTCCCAATATTGTTTTTTTCTTTTTTTTTTCAGCTTGTAAATGTTTTCCATATAGTCTCTATATAATTGATACAGCATTGTAGTTTTGTGGGTACCCTTCCTTTCCCTCCAGCGTTTTGGATTATCACTTTAGGGTTTTTTTTTCCCCCACATTCCTGGGTTCTATATTAATGCTTTGTTTTTGAACAAATTCCCTCTCAAGTCACTTTGCCCCAAGGAATAGGGGTGTCTACTTGTCTCTCTGCTCTAGATTTGGGGTAAAAAGATAGATGGAAACAATTGAAGATTGAGATAAAAGAGTCACACACACACACACACACACACACACACACACACACCGGCAGGCATGATGAATATGCTGAAAGCCAGCATCTTGGAGGTTGAGGCTGGAGGCAGTGCAAAAGACTGCCTCAAAAGACTGAGGGGCTGGGAATGTAAGTTAAAGGTAGGTGATTTCCCCACCCTTCAGACTGGCTGAAGCTGTCACAGGAACCCAGAGAGGCAGAGCAGTAAATATAGTAGTAGGTAAGAGGTAGGTGCAGTTGATTTTTTCCATCTTTCTAGTTGGCTACAGCCAGTCATATGACTGAACCTAGAGAGGCAGAGATGTGAATGCAACAGTGGATATGCATGAGAAGGGCTCAGCAGCACTGGAGACTTCAGCCTGAAGGATCAGCTCAGGTATGTGCTAACATCCTAGGGGAAGAAGGGCTCAGTGGGCAGTGGGCAGCGGGCGGGGGTCCTTTTATCTCCTTAGAGAGAGGTCAAGAGAAGGCCAGTGTTTTAGAGATCTTTTTAAAAAATCTTGCATGTGGGCTGGGTGTGGTGGTACATGCCTTTAATCCCAGCACTCAGGAGGCAGAAGCAGGTGAAGCTGTGAGACGAGGCCAGCCTTATCTACACAGTGAATTTCAAGTGGGACTACAGGGAGACTCTGTCTCAAAACAAAAAAGTCTTGCATGTCCCCAGAGTCCACAAACTCTGTGTGTGGCTTAGTGGCTGAGAGGAGCAAGTCACACATGCCCTTTCCTCTGCAGGACACAGGAGGGAGTGAATGTTCTAGAAGTGAAAAATTAGATAAGAAAAGATCTCTCAGGTCAGTAACCACCTGGAGGGATCAGCCTTCTTATGCAGAACGTTTCCATTTATTTATTTATTTATTTATTTACTTATTTACTTATTTACTTATTTATTATATTTATTTATTTATTTACTTATTTACTTATTTATTATATTTATTTATTTATTTACTTATGTCTTTTTGGGACAGGGTCTCCCTGTAGCTCCAGCTGGCCTGGAATATATACGCCAGGCTGGCCTCAAACACACAGAGATCTGCCTGCCTCTGCCTCCCAAATGCTGGGATAAAAGGCATGTGCCACTAAGCCTGGCAGGATGTTCCTTTTAACCATGTCTTTTATGTCTTTCAAAGAAGTTTTATCATAGAGGGGTTGCTAGGATTGAACCCAGGACTGTGTGCAAGCTAAGTATATGTTCTACCACTGAACTACACCCCAGGTCCTATATAATTTAAATTTATCATATTTAAATTTATATTTCTTCCATTTTATTTTGCTTTTTTTTTTTTTTTTCTCTTTGAGACAGGGTCTCCTTGTAGCCCCAGCTGTCCTGGAACTCACTATGTAGACCAGGCTGGACTCGAACTCACAAAGATCCGCCTGCCTCTGCCTCCTAAGTGCTGGGACTAAAGGCGTGTGCCACCACGCCCGGCTATTTTGCTTATTTTGTGTGTTCATGTGCACGTGTGTGTATGTGCGTGAATATGAGTATATGTGTGTGTGTCTTGTGCGAGTGTGTGTATGCACGTGCGTGTATGTGTGCATGCATGTGTATATATCAGAGATCAACCTTAAATATTTTTCCTCCAGCACCATCCATCTTGTTTCTTGATTTCTTGAGACAGAGTCTTCTACTGACTTCAGGCTTAACAATTAAGCTATGCTGCCTGGCCAGCGAGCCTCAGGGTTCTGCCTGTCTTCATCTCCCCAGCACCAGGATCATAAGCAGGCACTACCATATGTGAGATTTTTTTTTTAAAAATGTGACTTTTGGGGGATTGAACTCAGGTTTCCATTCTTACATAACAAGTACCTTACTGACTGATGTCTTTCTTGCCCTAATTTCTTTTTTTTAAAAAATATTTTATTATTTTTATTTTATGTGTATGAGTGCATTGCCTGCATGTATGTGAGTGCACCTGTGTTGTGCAATGCCACGGAGGTCAGAAGAGGGCTTAGGATTCCCCTGGAACTGGAGTTAAGGACGGTTCATAGCCACCATGTGGGTGCTGGGAATCGAACCCTGGTCGTCTAAGAGCAGTCAGTGCTCTTAATCGCTGAGCCATCTCTCCAGCCCCTCTAGCCCTAATTTCTATCTTACATGAATGAATTGTAGTTTTTAATTAGGTTTATTTCTATAAACCTGGCGCTCTTCAATTTTAGTGTAATTGGGACCATTTTTTTTTCCTACTACATTTTAAAATCATTTCTGGGGGTTAGGAAAGCACAGAAAGAATCAACTAAATGATAAATAACATATACTGTATCTTGGGGACTGGAGAGATGGTTCGGTGGTTAAGAGCACTGATTGCTGGGTTCAATTCCCAGCACCCACATGGTGGCTAACAACTGTCTATAACTACAGTTCCAGAGGATCCAACGCCTTCTTTTGACCTCTGCAGGCATTGTACAACACAGGTGCTCTTGCATACATGCAGGCAATACACTCATACACATAAAATAAAAACAATAAATATTTTAAAAATATGTAATGTATCTAAAGCAAAATAAAAATGAGAAACATAATGTGTGTAAGCTAGGAGTGAATGCAAAATATTAAATATTGTCTATAGATACAGACTGAGAGAGAGAGAGAGGGAGAGAGAAAGAGAGAGAGAGAGAAAGAGAGACCAAGTGAGGTGACCTAGTGAGACCCTGTATGACTAAAGCCAGGGCTGGTGGGGGTCGGGGGTGTAGCTTGGTTGTAGAGCACTTACCTAGCATCCATATCCTGAGTTTGATCTTGAGCCCCAGCGTGTGGTGGAGGTGGTTTAAGGGCTTGGTTGTGCAGACTTGAGAGGGAGCAGTCTACAGCATCTCTGTGTGCCTCTTTGACCAGGTCCTCTTGCCTCATGGATTACACCCTGGAGCCCAATGTCACGATGACTGACTACTATCCTGACTCCCTCACAATCCCCTGTGACACGGAACTCATCCTCAGAGACAGCACATTGCACCTGACCATCATCTACTGCATCCTGTTCATACTGGGTCTTCTGGGAAACGGCCTGGTGATCCTGGTGCTCGTAGCCTGCAAGAAGCTGAGGAGCATTACAGACATCTACCTCTTGAACCTGGCCATTTCTGACCTGCTCTTTGTCTTCTCGTTCCCCTTTCAGACCTACTATCTGTTGGACCAGTGGGTGTTTGGGACTGCCATGTGCAAACTGGTCTCTGGCTTTTATTACATCGGCTTCTTTAGCAACATGTTCTTCATCACCCTCATGAGTGTGGACAGGTATCTGGCTATCGTCCACGCTGTGTATGCCATGCACGTGAGGACGTGCAGAGTGGGCGCAGCCCTGAGCCTGGCAGTGTGGCTGACCGCCATCACAGCTACCCTCCCATTGTTGGTATTTTACCAAGTGGCCTCGGAAGATGGTGTCCTCCAGTGTTTCTCATTTTATGATCAGCAGTCTTTGAAGTGGAAGATCTTTACCCACTTTGAAGTAAACATCCTAGGCCTGTTGCTCCCATTTGCCATCCTTTTGTTCTGTTATGTCAGAATCCTGCAGCAGCTGAAGAGCTGCCAGAACCACAACAGGACCAGGGCCATTAAGTTGGTGCTCGTGGTTGTTGTTGCGTCTTTACTCTTCTGGGTCCCATTCAACGTGGTCCTCTTCCTCACATCCCTACACGACATGAGTGTCTTAGATGGGTGTGCTATGAGCCAGAGGCTGGTTCTGGCCACCCATGTCACAGAAATCATTTCTTTTACTCACTGCTGCGTGAACCCTGTTATTTATGCTTTCATGGGTGAGAAGTTCAAGAAACATCTCGTAGACATATTTCAAAAGAGCCGCAGTCACATCTTCTTCTACTTAGGAAGTAAGATGCCTGTGGAGAGCTGGGAAAGACACTCGTCTTTACAGCAGCGCTCTTCTCGGTCCTCCAGCATGGATTACGTTTTGTAAGGAGGTGCACACGGCAGCCCTCGGCCTCCATCACTCTTCCTCCTTCCCCTCCTCTCCTCCTTCTTCAACTCCCTCTCCCTCTCATTCTTCTCCTCCCCCTCTTTCTTATCTTCCTCCTCTTCTTCTTCCTCCCTCTCATCCCCTCCTCTCCTCCTCCTCCTCCTCCTCGTCCTTCGCCCCCTTTCCCTTCCACTTATCCTCGCCCTTCCTTCCTCCTTCTCCCACTTCTTGTTTATTGAGACAGGGTCTCACTATGCATCCCAGGCTGACTTTGAACTCTCAACCCTTCTGCCTCTGCCTCCCAAATGCTAGGCAGCACCTCCTTGCTTTTCTGTTGGATTCTGAGGGGAACTCTTAGAACTTCAGTTACAGACATACAATATCTATTTTATGATATTTAATGAATTTTTACTATTGTAAATTGCAACTTTTGGATATGTTGCTAGTATTTTCTAGGAATATTCTATATGTTCCATTATTAAGCATAAAGCTAACAGTGTGGTATTTTAAAAACTTGTCTTCTTAGTTTTCTGAGTGCTTTTATCACATACATATTTAATCACATGCTTTTTTTTTTCCTTATTGAAATGATCCTATGTTCTCCCTCCATTAGTCTGTTAATTTGGTAAATTACAGTGATTGGCTTTCTTACCTTAAATCAACATACATTTTTCCTGGAAAAAATAATCTCTTGGTTTTGGTATATTTGTACCTGTGTTCATGAGAGATATTATCCTGTAATCGTCTTTCCTTCTAACAGTCTGGGCAGGTTTGGTCTCATAAAATGTACCGAGAAATATTCCCTTCTAAATCTATTCTCTGAAATAGTTTGTGTTAAAAAAAAAAAAAAGGAAGTATTTTCTCTTCGAATGTTTGCTATAATTTACTACTAAACCCACTTGGGGTGTCTCTGTAGGAAGATTTCAAATTATTCTTTGTACTTATTGAACAGAGCCTGTACAACGTTTCTGCTTTTCTTCTTTAGTTTTGAGAAGCTGTAGTTGCTTACAAAACCTTCGAGCAATCTTTTTTTAGCTGAGGTTCTGAACAGTGTGCCTTCTAGGGCTTGATACCGATCATCTGTGGTTTTTTCTCTCTCTCTCTCTTTTCCTGCCTTGATCAGTTTTAAAGAGGCTTATCTGTCTGCCTCATCTTTTCAGGGAAGCAGACTTCGTCCACTTCCTGCCTCATTGATTTCCGTTCGTTTCTCTTGCTTTCTTTGGGCTTCATTTTCTATTGGCTTCCTGGAGTGGAATCGTCTTTTACTTAAATATTCATGCTGCAAAGTTCCTTGTGAGCACTATTTTTTTTTTTTTTTTTTTTTTGGCTTTTTGAGACAGGGTCTCCCTGTAGCCCCAGCTGTCCTGGAACTCACTATGTAGACCAGGCTGGCCTCGAACTCACAAAGATCCACCTGCCTCTGCCTCCCAAGTGCTGGGATTAAACACGTGCACCACCACGCCCAGCATGAGCACTATTTTTTTTTTTAATATTTTATTTTGGGCCGGGTGTGGTGGCACATGCCTTTAATCCCAGCACTTGGGAGGCAGAGGAAGGTGGATCTTTGTGAGTTCCAGGCCAGCCTGATCTACATAGTGAGTTCCAGGCCAGCTGGAGCTACAAGGAGACCCTGTCTTAAAAAGACAAAAAAGAAATTATTATTTTTATTTTATGTGTTTGAGTGTGTTGCCTGTATGTATGTGAGTGCACCTGTGTTGCCACGGAGGTCAGAAGAGGGCTTCAGATTCCTCTGAAACTGGAGTTAAGGACGGTTCATAGCCACCCTGTGGAACTGAACCTGGGAATTGCACCTGGGTCCTCTGCAAGAGCAGTCAGTGCTCTTAACTGCTGAGCCATCTCTTCAGCACTATTTTAAGGGTGTATTTTATATAGTTTACATTTGATCTTACCCAAAAGGCTGAGCAAAGATAGTATGCATTTATACAGTATCCACTTACACCACTTCAGGGAAGAGCTGTGTGTGCTCATTTTTAAAATTTTATTTATTATTTATTAATTTATTTTTTACCTTTTGATCTTTTTGAAACAGGGTCTTCCTGTAGCACCAGCTGGCCTGGAACTCACTATGTAGACCAGCTGGCCTTGAACTCACAGAGATCCGCCTGCCTCTGCCTCACGAGTGCTGGGATTATAGGCATGCATCACCAAGCCTGGTTTATTACTTTTATTTTTTAAGTGTATGGGTATGTTGTCTGTATGAATGGAAGTGCACCTGTGTTGTGCAATACCTGCAGAGGTCAGAAGAGGGCATTGGATTCCCCTGGAACTGGAGTTACAGAAGGTTGTTAGCCACCATGTGGGTGCTGGGAATCAAACCCGGGTCCTCTACAAGAGCAGCCAATGCTCTTTAATTGCTGAGCCATCTCTCCAGCCCAGATGGAAGCAGTTCTTAAGTTGTGGTTCCTTCTTCCCAAGTGACTAGTTTGTGTTAAGTTGACAAAAATTAACCAGAACACTCACCATCTGTTTAGGTAAGGAAGGACATATACAGGTGACTGTGAGTAAGCTAGATTCATTTATAAGAAAAATTAGACACTGCACTAAGAGCAAGAAAGGGTGATTGGGAGCTGGAGAGATGATGGCTCAGTGGTTAAGAGCACTGGCTGGTGTTGCAGAGGACCCAGGTTCAGTTCCCAGCACCCACATAGCAGCTAACAACTGTTCATAACTCCAGTTCCAAGGAATCCAACACTCTCTTCTGGCTCCCTGAGCATTGCATGACATGGGTTCTCTTACATATATGCAGGCAAAGCACTCATACATATAAAATAAAAATTAATTTTTTTTAACAAAAAACAGTTTCAAGGTGACTGTTATAATAACTTCAAGCTTTGACAACTATTAATTTAAATTGGTAAAGAATTTGCTTTCTTCCTTCTTTCCAGGTATGTGTAGATTTGTGTCAAGTTAACAAAAACTAATAACTGAGAAGGGGGGGGAGCTTAAATACACCAGAAATGATTTCAACAATCCTACCAAGACCTTCTTCTTTAGTGAACCGCACAGAGTGCCTGTAACCCAGAAGTTTTGTTGTGACCATCTACAGCCCTCCATATGAGTTCATTATGCAGTGCTGCATGGCTCTTCCAGCTGGTATGGGCAGGAAAGAAAGCCTGGGGCCTGGCCACCCACAGTTGAAGATTCTGTGCTATGCTGCAGAATTTGGGTTTTCTCTTTACATTTAAAATTTTTTTCAGTTATGTGTATGTGGGGGTGGAGGGGTATGTGCATGAACATGCAGGTAGCTGTAGAGGAATTTGGATCTGTTAGAGCTGGAGTTGCAGGTGGTTGTGAGCCGCCAGACATGGGTGCTGGGAACTGAACTGGGGTTCTCTGAATGAGCAGCAGACTGCTCTTAACCTTTGAGCCTTCTCTTCAGTCCCAACCCAGCAGAGTCCTCCCCATCCTCTACCCCGTGAGGAGTTTTAAGCAGGAGAAAGAAATGGTCTGATTTGCATGACAGAAAGATCCATTGGGGAATTGAGGAACCTGCAGAGGGTTGACCCATAATGCAAAATGGCTTCCCCTACCTCCTTCCTCATTTTTCTGGTCCTTCAGTGCCTTCCTCTCCAGTTCCTGTGTTTCCAAAACAGTTCACAGTGGCAGAATATCTTTTCATGTCTTCCTTGCTTTCACATGATAATTGGAAGCCACCACCAGAAATTCCCTTTTTCTGGTAGATAGAGAAGAGTGTGAGTCCAGTTTATCAGCCCACCCTCCAGAATTGTGGGTGATTTCCCCCTGGCAATAACTTCCTGGCAAGGACTTTCTGTCTGGCTATTGTCTGTACTCACTGGACCCAATCATTCCCCACCCCCACTTTTTTTTTTTTTTTTTAACTTAGAAGACAAGCTAGTATGGAGTCTTATCTAAGTACTCAGAAGGCAGAAGCAGGTGCATCTCTGTGAGTTCAAGGTCAGCCTGTTCTCCATAGGAAGCTCCAGGTCAGCTGGGGCAACCAGGAGATCCTGTCTCCAAAATAATAATAACAATAATAATAATAATAATAATAATAATAATAATAATAACAAGGAACTGGAGAAAAGGCTCAGTGGTTAAGAGCACTGACTGCTTTTGCAGAGGCCCTGAGTTCGATTCCCAGCACTCACATGGCAGCTAACAATCATCTACAAATCTAGTTCCAGGGGAGCCAATGCTCTCTTCTGACCTCTACAGGCACTGCACAACACGATCCACTTACATACAGGCATATAAAATAAAAATAATAAATACGTAAATAACATAAAACTTAGAAAACATTTTAATAAGATAATTTCCTCCATCAGATTAACCTGTGGGCATGTCTATGAAGCATTTTCTTAATTACTGATTGATGTAGGTGGGCCCAGCCTACTGTGGACAGTGCCATCCTTGGGCAGGTGGGCCTGGTCTGTGTAAGAAAGATAACTGAGCAAGCCAAAGGAAAAAGCAGCATTCCTCCATGGTCTCTGCTTCAGCTTCTGCCTCCAGATTCCTGCCTTGAGCTCCTGCCCTGAGCTTCCCTCAATGATGGACTTGTAAGCTGAAATAAATCATTTCCTCCCCAAATTGCTTTTGGTCATGGTGTTTATCACAGCTACTGAGAAGCAAACTAGAATATTGCTATATCAAAAATGTTCCCTGAACTTGGGTGTTCTAAATAATACAGAACTGTTGGTAAACATTTGCTTATTAAATATGTGCTTTTTTTTTCGAGGTATTCTGTGTCTCAGCCTGTGCTGGATAGCTTTAGTGTCAACTTGACACACCTGGGTTGAGGGAGCCTCAATCGGGGAATTGCCTCTGTTGGACTGGCCTGTGCCCATGTCTGAAGGGCATTTTTTTGATGAGTGATGTGGGAGGGCCCAGCCCACTGTGGGTGGTGCCACGCCTGGGCAGGTGGACCTGTGTAGCATAAGAAACCAGGCTGAGCAGGGGCCAAGAGAACAAACCAATAGTGTTCCTCCATGGCCTGTGCTCCAGCTCCTGCCTCCAGGTTC